TGTGTGTGTGTGTGTATATGTGTGTGTGTATATGTGTGTGTGTGTATATGTGTGTGTATATGTGTGTGTGTATATGTGTGTGTATGTGTATGTGTGTATGTGTATGTGTGTATGTGTATGTGTGTATGTGTATGTGTGTATGTGTATGTGTATGTGTGTGTGTGGATATGAGATTATGTCCGCCTCTTTGCCGGTTGCGGCCGCCTTATCCACCCACAGCACTTACTTTACAAGGCGCTTTAAGTCGTGAGTCGACCCTAACCTTTTCGTCAATATGACCACCACCAACAACAACACCACGAGCATCTCATCTCCACTTTCCTAGCCCAGGCCACCCCGCGCCTCGTCACCTGGACGTCCCCCACCACCCCTTCCAATTCCGGGCCTCCACCCAGTGGTCCTCGTCTCCCTTTCCCGGTGCCTTCCTGATGCGCCGCCTCCGACCCCCTTTAGGCAAGCCGCTGTTTGACGGCCAGGGCGAGATAGAGCAGCTGGACAAGATTTGTACGGTGTTGGGAACCCCAAACGAGGAGGTGTGGCCGGGCCTGAAGAAGCTGCCTAACTGGGGAAAGGTGCGGCGCGCGTGGGGGGCGGGTGAAGCTGAGGGGGCGCGGGATGGGGGAGGTGGGAGAAAGGGTTGGGAAGGAAATATTGCAAAGGTGGGCTTGGAAAAGTGGGAAACCGAACCGGAGCCCTGGGATGGGGTTCTGTAGAGTTGTGGGGACGGCGTTATTGTATTGTATTGTGGTTACAGTATTTCCGCCGCCGACGCGGCGGGTGCCCTCACGAGCCGTGAGGCTCCAGAGCACGCTGTTGACGCTCATCGAAAACCTCAGTAAGGAAAGTAGCGATTTTCCTCGGATTGGTATTAAGAAATGCCGTTATGCGTAGTCCTGATCGACCTGCGCCTGCAAATTTGCACGCGACACACAGGGGGCTTAGGGAGAGGAGGTGGGTAGGGACGCAGTTGTTGAGATGCAGGCAGACGGATGAATAAGTAGCTTGACCAACCATTTAACAGCCGTCACACCACCGCCCACGTCCCCTTTGTTCCTCTGCCGGCTCAGATTGTGTTACGGCCTCAGCCCAGTCAGCTCCGTCAGCGATTCACTTCCTCCTTTGGCAGCGGCGCCACTCTGACAGAGGCGGGATTCGACTTGTTGTCCAGTCTGCTGTCGTACGACCCTCAGCAGCGCATTTCCGCGGCGGAGGCGCTGGGACACAGGTACGGCATAGGATAGGGTATGATAGGTAGTAATTATAACCCTCCAATGAACTGAGCAACCAGGAGGAAATGGTGAGGGATTGCGTATTTTTATTGAATGCATGTGTATGTGCTGGGGAGTGGGGATAGGGTTTTAGTGTTTGATATTGAGAACACGTGCGGCGGTCAGAGGGGGGGGGGAAGGGCGGGGACCGGTATGGTAAGGAAAGAAGGGAAGCAGGCAGGAAGGAGGGGAGTAGAACGACATAGCATTGCTTACATGAAATCGCAACATGAGCTCTCCACCAGCACCACAACCACCTTCTATTGTGGCTCGCTTGTGTTTGCTCCCTGAACCCGCATCTCATCGCCAGCTCCTTTGGCTTTTGCATGTACTTCTTTCTACACAAGGCAGTGTTCTTTCGTTGGGACAGAAAATCCTTGTGAAGTCTGTAGTGGTTAGCATTAGTCGACGCTGGCCGGCCCCACCACCCGGTAGTCTCAGTCCATATCACCACTACAGCGACGGCTTCTCCTACTAGCTCTGGCATCTTTCTTCCCCTACATATATCAACTTCTTCAAAAAAACTCAGCTATTTCTACTACGATCTCATTACTGGACTACCACTTGTTTCAGGTTAAGCTCTGCATGTGACCGGTACCAACCGGTACGTCTCGCGGCTCGGCTCATGTAAACACCACTACATTCTTTCGCCTTGCGTATAGAACTCTCCCCTCTCCCACACAGAGCCTTCTCGCTGCCCCTCCCCACATTTCCTCAGGTGGTTTTCGGAAAGCCCCTACCCGCAGCGCCGCGAGCTGATGCCCACCTTCCGCTCCAACAAGGATGGCAGCGGGCCTGTGCGGCAGGCGGCGATGGGAGCCCCCGGCTCGCCGCCGCTGCAGTTCATGGCTGCGGCCCTCAAAGCGCGGTGATCACTGCATGCCTAGCTCGCTAGCTAGCTAGCTGGTTGTTGGCTGGGTGGGAGATGATGGGCCGCTTCACAGCCCTAATCCACGCAACCCAACCATGAAAGAAACGCGTCTGGTTCGGCACCGGGGCAATGTGAATATGATTTGTTTTTGTGTTGAGGTGTCGTACGTGTAAATGACGGTGGATAGAACATCATCATAGCTTTGCGGCACTCCTTTCAGGCGCGGTGACGACGGATCAGTATCAGGGATTTGGTTGAGGCAAGCTCGCTTGGAGACACAGTCACATAAACACGCGCACCAGCGTCTACATTAAATGGGTTTGAGGCAGGCGGTTGGCGAGCCCGTGATTTGGTTGCTGGACAGTTGCGGATTCTGCGCTGTGCGCAGACTGCCTGGTTCGTATGAGATTGACTTGGTAGGTTTAGGGGCAATTGAGGGTTTCCCGCATGGGGGCTGGCGCTTTTAAGTGAGTGAGTGTTCGATGGATGCGTTGGGGCATTTGTGTTTTGACGGGTTACATGGATAATGGGGGTTGCCTCTTTGCGGAGCTCTTGTAATGGAGCGTAATAGCATATGTCGCGGAGAATATGGACGAGGAGGGCATCGTATTACGGGGCTTGCGACTGACTTGGTGCTGAGGAGTTAAGTGTAGCCGGTTACGAATAGAAACTTACTGGAAGTTGTCCATAGCAAGACGGGGCCGTGGCTACGGAGATGTGGATTGTATATGATTGCTCCGGATCGCGCGTTACAGCTGTTTGATACTGTAACGGTGCTACCGGCACAAATGTCTAAACAACGTGCAACGACCTAGTATTAGAACAATGACCAAGAAGACGTGTGTGGTGACGGACTTATTTTATGCATGGTTTAGGTGGCGTGTAAATGGACAGCTTTCAGAAGATATTACATGCTGGCAGTTTATACAGCACAAAGCACAAAAGAAACCATATGCACAAACAAAAGAAACCATATGCACAAAGTACTCGGAACACTGCAAAAGCTTCGTTCGTGTATGCATCCAAAACCTTAGTACAGCTGGTACTGCCATCGACAAGCGCGGGAAACCTAGAAGTGCCAAGTCCGGTCTAAACAAATTGTTAGACCTGCACATCACACATTATTGTTACGTAAAACAACTTGCCGACTGAGTAATTCACACGTGCGCCGAGGAAAAAATATTATGCTGCAACTCGAGGAGAAATGAAGGGGATTCAGCGGTTAGCGCAGTTACAAATGCAAAATTATCGGGCTTCTATGGGCGCATGCAAACGCGTTTGTATAGAGGCTTAACCGACAGCTGACAGGTCACCTCTCGCTCAGATGGCAGGGCTAGCTGGCAGCTCTGATTCACTACAAGTCCTCACTGCTCGTTGGCCTGGTCGGGAATCCCAGGTGCGCCACCTCTTGATATCAACACCCGAAACTGGTTGTCCATCTTACTTACACCCTACGAGACGCATGTGCAGATCGCGGCGCTACATAGCTGGCTGTTTGGTCGGATCGGCTCGCACGTGATCGTGCATGGCCCGTCAGGAACTGGGAAGACTGGAGTAGTCCGGTGAGTGCTCTGCTGGAGCTTAGGCACCCAAACAAGTCCCACATGTTCAGGTGCCAGCGGCGCATGTCGACCAGCTGGCCCAGCTGGGGTCCAAACTTCCCGCACCATTAAGGGCTAACGGCCACCCCGCGAAAGGCTAATTGCAGCGTGTTACTGCTTTTGTACTGCTATGTACGGATTTGTAATACTGCTCTGCTCCAGGGACTGCCTGGAGACATGGGGTTGCCGGTACGCTTACATGACTATGCCGCAGGTATGGTAGAATAAAATTTGTCATCATGCGCCATGTGGTGTGTGTGTGGGGGGGGGAAGGGGCTGTCGAAAAGCGCATATAATTCCGCAGCCCTCCTTACCATATCCCTCCGATTGTTGTCTTTAGCGAAAGGGGGTTTTTCATCCGGCTCCGGAACCACCATCCAGCATCCTCCTGGATCTAGTCTCCTTAAGCTCCTTCATAGGTGATCTTGTGACTATTACGGAAGACGAGGTGGATGACAAAGAGTTGAAGAGGCGTTGGTGAAGGTCTATCCTATAACAGTTTGTGATCCTCGCCGTTATATCAGCACACAACTGGAGAACGGCGAACCGGGCTTCTTTTCTCTCGTTCCTTACGGCTGTCCTGTACCCAATCTTCCTCTCCTCCCGCCGCACCGCTGGTCCGTTGCTACTTGCACACGATTACCCCTCCTCCCTCAATCGTCGCCCCCAACGTCGTTAATGATTGTCCTTATCTTGACTTTACATGACACATTTAATAACGTCCCGCACTGCAGGAGTACAAGTTGCGGCAGCTGTTCAACTCCCTCCTGTCTCAGCTGTGGAGCTACTCGGGATTGAAACGAAAACGTGAAGGTGGTTTCGGAGCCACTGCGGGGGCGGACAGCTGGAACGACTTTGCGGAGCATATTGCAGGTTTTGAATTGGGGGTTGCGTGATGTGGGTTAATGCGTAAGCTGTGTGACTCTGTGATTGGTGGGGTGCCCGCCTGCTCGGGATGATTGGGTTCGGAGATGTAGGGAGAGGGATTCTGAGGCATGTGGTGGTCGGTGAGGCCTTGGATAATGCCAAGTGGGTCCATAACACATTTGTATACAGGATGGACTGGTAAAAACAGGATGGACAAATATAGCCCTCCGTCGTGTTTCGGTGTTGTTTCCCTTGCACCCACCTTCTCTATAGCCCCGTCTAGAGCCGCAACATTACCGATCAACCGTCACAACAAGTAAGGATTCCCGCAACCAGTCGCAACCGTCGCCGCCCCGTCACTGTCATCCTGTGCTTGCCCTTGTTTTGCCGGCCCATGACCGCCGACCTTGTCTTCATCCCAGCTGTCGCCGCCCTGCCCCTGCCACTGCCCTTTCCCCACCTATATTACACTCTTGCCCTGGCAGCAGCTTCACTCTTTTGTGGTTCGTCTTCCCCCACCTATATTCAGATGTATGCCCCCCTGGTGCTGAGCACTGCTCCATGATTGTGTTGGACGATATGGAGTGGTGCGCGCACAGGAACCTGTTGCCGCAACTGCTGGCTGCGATCAAGGTAAACGGGGTCAGACGAGGGACATATGGGTTCTGGTGGCTAGGGAGATGGCTAGTGGCTAGAGGCGTAGGCTGACTAGCGAGGTGGTTGTGGTAGTTGGTTGTGAGATGATAATGGTGGTGATGATGGGTTGGGTGGTTAAAAGGGTTGGCTGGGTCTTGAGGGAGGGAGGGAAGCTCAAGATGAGCGAGAGTTGAGGTGGAGGTGCTGTTCATTCGGTGTTCATTACGGACGCTTTTTAATCGTTCTGCGGTATCTCTGCGGTCTCCCAGGTTGCCCCTCCGGAGAACAGGTGGACGCCTCTCACTTAGGAGGGACCCCATGAACCTAGACAGACAGAGAGACAGGCAGATAGACAGACGGACAGACAGACAGACGGACAGACAGACGGACAGACAGACGGACGGACAGACAGACGGACCTTCCTGCCTGTCCTCCTAACCCCTCCCTCATTTCCCCATCTCCCTCCCTCCCCCTCCTTGCACTCCCTACACGTCTAGTGGCACCGGGCCAGTGTGGTGGTTGTAACCATAACCGCTACCGCACCGCAGGTAAGGACGGTCCGCGAGTTGGTTGATTGGTTGGTTGGCTACTTAAACAAATTTTATTGTTGTCTCCCTGCATGCGCTCCGTCTTTCACACGTCTGTCTTGTAGCCGTTATAAGGCAACGACTACTTCTCCCAACTTACTGTCACACTCTCTCTTTCACTCTCTCCATCTCCCCATCTCGACCTGGCAGCCAGCAGTCCGCTCACGTCGTGGGGCCCTGTTGGCTTTGCACATACATACAAACATACATACGTACACGACACTCCTCTCTCGCGGCTCTATTTGTTGAAACACACATGTCCTTGGTGTCCTTGGTTTTGTCCGAACGATGCTCCCCTCCCTCCATCTCTCACTCTCCCACTCTCTCGCCCTCTCACTCCCGCAGGACGTTTTGTTCGGTCCTGGGTTGGGACTAGCCTTGCCCCTCATGCGTTGCCTGCACTTCCCCGCGTACGACAGGGAACAGCTGTGTGCGGCGCTGGCGGTGGTGAGTGGGCGAGGGCTGGTGGGGTGCTTGTGGTGGGTGGCGAATGTCTGTCGTTTACCCGAAACGCTTAATCTCACACAGTGGAAGAGAGAGAGAGAGGGTTTAAAAGGTCTGTTCTTAAACCGATTCCGATTCCACCTTTACAGAGGCTGCCCACGGCTTGCGGGGCAGCAGCGGCGGCGGCAGGTTCTGGGCCCCCGGCCGCCACAAACGGCAATACGACACCCTCGCCGGAGTTGTACGGCAGCTTCCTGGGTGCGTACGTCGTGACGCCGTTCAGTCCGCTGACTCGCAGCGCCGCCGACCTGGCGGCGGTGGCGGCCTGGCTCTGGCCGATTTATAGTCGACCGCTGGAAGAGGGCAAGGTACGGGCGTACGGGAATGGAGGAGGGCTATTGTTGCCGTACAGGGGTTATCCAGTCATCGCAGGGTGTGTATTAGTTCTGTAGGTTCGCCGCGGCTAGGCGGAAGAGCCGCAGGTCGATTACAAGCTAACGGGTTGCCATAGATATGAAATAGGTATGGATAGCAGCGCAGGAACTATGCAGTAGGTTATGTCGTATAGTACGACTGAATCCATTCGCCCATTAGATCAGACAGATAGGCAGGCGGACAGACAGACGCATTAGCCGTGAAAGGCAAAGACCTGCCAAGGAAAATGTTGCATGTACTTTGTGTACGTGCATCTGCATATCTGTGTTTTGTGGCCCGTCCCCCCCTCTCTCCCCGCAGGTTCGCATGGACGCTCCCGCTGAGTCTCAAGTACGGCAGCTTGACGTACCAATGAAGCAACGCGACGTCATACGGAAGTTGCTTGAGGTGTATCGGCCAGGCATGCGTTCCCTCACGCCGGGGTTGCTGCCGTCGGCAACGGCGGCAGCGCCGCAGCCGACGGCAGCTGCGGGGCCCTCGGCGGCGGCGGCGGCGCCAGGTGGCGGCGGCAGCGAAGAGGCTGACGGCGGGGGAGCCCTGGTCCAGAACCTGGGCAAGGCTGCGAAACTGCTGCTTCTGGCGGGTGAGAGCTTAAAATTTAACTCCTTTTTGAGATTTTGAGATCATTTATGTTCCCCATGATTTTTCATTAATGTTATTATTATTATTGGCTAGGGTACTGCAACAGTATACAAAATCCTTTTCTATCCTGCACCAACACCCCGGGCAGGGGCCCAGGGGGAATGTACTCTCTGCCCGGGCTCAGCGGGCTGGTGCAGACGCTGGTGCAGCAGCACCCATACTACACAGCAATCATGCAACAAAAATATATTCCGTCGCTCCGCACCTATCTCCATTGCCCCATTTCCCTCCCTCTTTCCCCCCCCGCTCCCCCCCGGGGCACGACGACCATCAGCCTACGTGGCAAGTCGCAACAAACCCACACTTGACAAGGAGCTCTTCGACTTCCGAAAACGACCAACCGCCAGACGGAGAGCGGGCGCGGGCCGGGCGGGCGAGGCAGCGCAGGAGGCGGACAGACAGGTACGGCGCGTGTACGGCATGGCGACGTACTTCCACCGTGTCCATCCCTCACCTCCACCCCGGTTTCACCCTCCGCGCTAAGTCCCTTCATACCTTTCCGCCCTCTTCCTCTCCCTCCTGGATTCCCCCCTCACCTCCCGCTCCCTATGCGTCTCGGTGTATGTGGTGCTGCGATCCGTTATGTGCTTCCACGTCGCTCACGGCCTCGTGGGTCCTTTGACATCCGCATTTCCCGTACCGTCTTTTTTTACCAAATCCTCGTCTGATTGCGCGTCCTTCCGTACGTCCTTTTCCTCGCCTGTTTCTTTCCTTCTTGCAGGCTGAGGCTGCTAAGGAGGCGCGACTGAAGGGACCGCACGCGTTCCCCCTCACTCGTCTGCTGTCCATCTTCCACCGCCTGTGGGCATCGGCGCCCGCCATTGAGGATGACCTGTACGGCAACCTGTACGGATCCTTCTTTTGTCGTTCCGCTGGCGGCGTCGAACCCGACGTGCTTGACGTGGACCTTGCCACGGGCTTCGCTGGGGGCAGGACGGGTTTGGAGGTATGTACGGCGAGGTGTACGGCCAGTTTTCTTCCACATTTTTGACGTTGTTGAAAGCATTCCTTGTCAGCATGTCATTGGAGCAATAACTGCAGGAAAACACACCGCGTTTCACCACAACTTGCAATACGTGTGTGCTGTATATCACCTCTTTATTCCGGATCCGCTACATTTACACATAAGCGTCTGCGAGCACATGCGCACATCACGACTTTAATTCATAGCCCGCGTTCTCTGGTTCCAAGCGTCATCCCAACGGTACAAACGGCATCTCAACGGCCTGTGGAGATGGGGCATAGTAGCGCAATTAGATCGCCGCTCCAACCGTACGTTTGCAGGCTGTGTGGAGTCAGAGCGCGGCCGTGCTGAGCGCTGTCACTGGCCTGCAGGTGCGTGTTTGCCGAGAGCCGGAGGGGGGACGGGGGGCAGGGATGATGGTGATGGTGACATGGGGTGGCGGCAGAGGGGTCAGAAACGAATGGCTTGGCAGGGAGAGGGTGAGGAGGGGAAAACAAACAAACAAACAAACAAACAAACAAACAAACAAACAAACAAACAAACAAAGGGAGAAAGAAAGGAATTGAAAACGGGGATCCGGAGGGGGGGTAGTGCGCAAGCTTACGGGTTGGGGGGCGGGCTGATATGGAGGGGTGGGTCGGTGGATTCCTGGACATCTACGGCTTTTAGCGCTTTTGGTTGTGAGCATCGAAACCCTGTACACTTCACTACGTGTGTGTGTATTTGTCGTACAGCCGTGTGCCCGAGTAACAGCTATGTTTTTAACACCATCTGTATGCGCCAGATATGTTTTGATGAACGCCTGTCTATCCACAGGCCATGAGTGGGTATACAATGCTTGCGGTCATGAGTGAATGTCCAAATTGTTCTATAGCAGCGTTGTCAACGGTGTATTGTGGCTCGGTCTCGGGCTTAATGTCAGCCTTCCCCCCTTCTCTCCCCCCCCCCCCATTTCTGCGGTTTCCCTCTTTCCCCACCGTCCCTTCCTGCTCGCTATGCGCCTGTGCTCTCCCACTACTGCTACGGATGTGGCTGGCTGCTGCTGTTGCTGCTACTGCTACTGCTGATGCGTTCGTACGTCCTGATGTTGCTGACTACCACATTTGTGCTATGGCCTGATGGCATCTCTTCTACGGCGGCCACTGCTGTGGTCTGTGGTGGACGTTTAGAGCATGGGGCTGCTGGCAAAGGTAAGGAGAGTAGGGAACATGATGGTTTCGGAGCTGGGGCGTGGGATTATTTTGGTGTTTAATCTTTTACGAGGATTCGGAAGCAGTTAGAGCGGCTAAGCCAGATTCTCATTCGCGTTCTCTAGCCAAGCATTGCATTAGAATTAGGGATTAAGCTGTTAAAAAGAGCGGAAGGGATGCTGGAGGCTGCTGAGGGAATGGAGGACGGGATGAAATGGGGATGAAGTGGAATTTCGTGGTTTGCTGTTGCGTAGCGTTCAACACACAAGCACAGGCACCGTGGAGAAGTGTTGTCCGTCATATCACCTAGCCCGTATCCGCTGCTTTTCATAACTCGTCCGCTCGAGGCTGACGAGTGTATTCGCCTTATGCCCTTTTGTCATGTACGTCAACAGTACGGCGGAAGTGACGACCCGCTAGATCAGCCACGATACACCTGCTGCATAGACGAGCCCTTGGCGCTGCGAATTGCGGGAGACGTCAAGCTCACGCTCCAAAACTATCTAATGTACGACAAATAGCCTGACTACGTCAAGTACGATGCCGCGTGCCGTAACGCCGTAACACAGGTTGTGTGGTGACGGATCTTGTGTGCCTGTTACGTGGCACTCGCAGCAACGACATCAATCAGGGGACCGGTTGTTGGAACTAGCTTAGATGTGGTGGTATGTCGTACGTACGACAGCTTATCGTATTCCCGCATTGATCTGGATGATGGAGATTTGGTGCGCGTCTCTGAAATACTCACGTTTGCGATGCGGCGCTTTCCCTTTCGTACCTCGGAAGGAAGGTCCTCCACCGCCGCCTGGAAATCCTACCTAATGTAACGTCCTTGCTTTGGGGCATTGGGAATTGGGTACCCACCAACACATGCTGAGGAGGGATTTCCCCACATCATATTCCTTGCACATCATTCTGTACCTTGGCCTTTACGCAATAGACCCAGTACCGAAGAACTAACACACAGAAGGAGCCAGAGGTTGGGAACCATGCGTGAGGAGCAAAGGGGCGTTATCAGTACATTTCCACATGTCAGACAGAGAGAGGGGCAACATAGCAAATTGAACAAATGGGTGCAGGATAGTTAAATCAGTCCAAGAGTATCCAAGGAGCTGGCTGCGCGTGTTTGCCTGGTCTTGATGATTCTGCTGTGTACGCCTGCACGTGCATGAGTAGCGATGAAGACTCGAACGGATTTGTTAAGCCGTGGCTTCATAACCCACTGTGGACGTGCCCACGCAGCAGCTGTACGGCTTCTAACCGACCAAATGCGCACGGGGCATGAATCCCTATGCTTATCAATCGCAAATATATGAGCTTTTGAACTCTTATGCCGTGCTTTCATATGTTTCTTATTCGTTCCATTCCTGCTTGTTCACGTTCATCTTTCGTAACCACGGATGATCTTTGGGTCTAGATACATGGAACGACACGCATCATGCAGTGATTATATGATGTAGATTATTACTTGATGTCGTGGCGTTCGCGAGGAGGCGGTTCCAGTGCTTGGCATCAATGCCTGGCACATCTCCGACAGGTTGGATAATTGACGTTGATTGTCAAGATGGGTTACTGTACTGCCGCGCTCATGTTCCGTGCTTTGTTTAGGAGGCAGCAGGGAAGGGTTATGTCCCCCCTCAAAGTCTCCAATCTGCACTGGAAACTCTTCGGATTGCGACAGCTGACGTCCAGAGTAATGAGGCAAGTTAGTTTGCTAAATTTTCTGGGGTTGGGGCATTAAGGTACGCCGACGAATAATCCACCATCGTGCCACCTCTCATGCAGCTGGCCGAGGACTTTTCTTTCCTAGTGCAGCAGCTTGTGGGTCCATCGCCCTCACTTGGGGGTTCACCATCGGCTGGAACCTTGACCAGGTACGAGACAAACGACGACACACTTGTTCTGCAGCATGGGATGTCCGGCACGTGGGAGAACATCCCCTCCTTCCCCCGCGTCAAGGACCTGCAGCTGTTAAGGCATCCCTTCAACGTCTCTGGCGCAGGGACCCAGCCACATCGCACGCGGCGGCTGCGCTCTGCCGCCTGCTGAGCAGCCTCACCTCAACTCGCACTGTTAGCCTCCACGGCCCAGCAGCAAACCTCATCCTCTCAGCGTTGCGCCTGTGGTCGGACGGTGCGCACGATGGCACCCGCACCCCCACATCCTTGCGAAGCAGCCTCGCCTCCCTTCCCTCGGCCACCATTGCTACCCCTACACTATCCGGCAGCGGCAGCTATGGCAGCACAGCAACGACGACACCCGATATTCCTGCTCTGCCGGCGTCGCCCGCATCGCCGCCAGCTGTGCCTGCTTCCGCTGCTGCTTCCAGTCTTCCAGTAGAGGCTATGACGGCGCTAGGTGCCCTGCTGCCTGACCATTTGGGTCTGCTATCGGAGCATGAGCGAGCAGCTCAATTGACGGCCCTGATGTCAGTGCTGGTACCGCAACCATTACCGTCGCCACAGCAGCCGCGAGGTTCGGAGAGCGCACGTGTAAGTATAAAAAATGGAGGACTCAGAACTTAGGACTGAGGCCAGGGGGTAGGGATAGGAGCAGATTGAGGAGAGGAAAGGCGTTTTGGGTTTTTGTGTGCATCATGGTCCAGTGACGAACACCTCCAGGAGGGGCTAAGACTGCGACTGCGACTGAAATTCGTAGTCTGCCAAACCCCGCATCGTCGCTCCCTCCCGTCCACCTACGTCCGTTCGTCACCATCACAGGGCCAACGAGGCGGTGCAGCAGCCGACCACCTGGACATGCAGGTCCTGGCACTGAACACCTTGGCGGCCTGCTGCGGCCGGAACACTACCACCACTACCACAACAACAACATCAGCTAGTGCGGGGCGCGGCAGCGGTCTCACGGCCGATGAGGCAGCGGCGCTGCTGTCGGCCGCTGCATCATTGCTTCAGTCGTGCGCCAGCCGAGGCTCCTCGAGGCCCATGGAGGATGCGGCGCACTCGCGGCTTTACGCAGCGCTGGTGCGAGCGCTTCAGGCGGCTATAGGGGAGGTCCGGACGGCTTGGGTGACCCGCGCGGCGATGCTGGTGGAAGGGCTGCAGCGGTTCCTTGTGTACGGTGCACAGGCCTCGGTAACGGCAGCGACGGCAGCTCCTGTCGCTGCGGCGCCCGCACCGCCGGAGGTCGGCAGTGGCGGCGGTGGCGGCCGGTACCGGCCACCGCACCTGCGCCGCTGTGATTCCTCCCAAGCTGAGGGGGGCTCGCTAGCATGGTCAGATAGCGACGTCAGCGATACGGAGCATGGCGCCGCTGGTGCAGCGGCGGCAGCGACGACATCGGGTTCCGGGACGGCGGTTGTAGACAGGTTTCGGAGCTCACGTGTACGTCTGGCGGTGTTGTCGTGCATCCAGGCCATGGCCAAGAGCGATCCACGGGCCATGCACGCGCACTGGTCGGCGCTGCTGCCGCTGCAGAATCCCCTGCAGCCGCGGCCGCTGACACCGCACCTGATTACCGTGCTGTTGTTCGACCCACTCATTAAGGTGCGCAAAGCAGGCGCGGTGACAGAAGAGATACGGCACCGAACAGGAGAGCACCCCCATCGGCTTGTCCCGCAACGACTCTCCTCGGATTGGGGGGGTTACCCTTTGGTATCCCCGAAGGGGTCTTCGTCCCCTTTAAGGAAACCAAAGGTTCCCCTTTGGAGTCATGATTTGAAGAGCCTGCATATCTAGTTTCGAATTTCCGTGTAAAGATTTTGAAAATGGAAACACAACAAAACGTGCAGGTACGTGCCCTGGCTGCGGCCACTATCGCCTCGCTGTTGGACGGCCCGGCGCAGCGCTCGATTCTGGCTGTCGCAGAGGCCAAGTCTATGTCGGGCCGGGCACCGGTTCGCGGCTTCTTGACGCTGTCCTTGTCGCTAGGGCAGCTGCTGCTGGCGGCCCA